AAAAAAAAAAAAAAAAAAAAAAAAACCCAAAATAAAAAGAAAAGAGAAGGGTGCTCGTTTCGGCAGTACATATACTAAAATTGGAACAATACAGAGAAGATTTAGCATGGTCCTTGTGCAAGGATGACACACAAATTCATGAAGCCTTCTATATTTTTAAATTTGGTACTCTAAAAAAGAAAAAAGAAAGAAAGAAAGAGAAGGAAGGAAGGAAGGAAGGGGGGAAAGAGAGAGGGAAAGAAAGAGCGAGTGAGTGGGCAGTGCCTGCGGCTCAGTGAGTAGGCAGCCAGCCTGGTGTTGTGGCAGGGGCCTGCAGTCCCAGCTACTTGGGAGGCTGAGGCAAGAAAATTGCCTAAGCCCAAGAGCTGGAGGTTGCTGTGGTCTGTGGCGCCACAGCACCCTACCAAGGGTGACAATGTGAGAGGAAGGAAGGAAGAAAGACTATGGCACAAAAATAAAGTGATAATTATTGAGGAAAACATATTTTTTTTCTTCTTTGTGTATCTTCAGCCAAAATATCTAGGGATTGATTATTAAAATAATAGAGCACCTCATGCACTGAGAGATTGTTTTCCCATTTTTAGCCTTCATTTATTTCTTGCTGTTTTATTACCAGAGCTTCATATCTTTTTAGAGATTCCTTTGCCTAATAGTTTTACATGCTTTCCAGAATGAGTTTCTCCAGCTAAATCTAAGATATGAAATCTTTGTTAACTGTAACAGTTCATTTAACATGAATATGAACCGTTCTGGCTGATGGTAGGTGACGTCATATGAACTACCAAACATCTATGTTTGGAACATCAAACTATGTTCCATTTCCGTTCTATTTCCCAAGAGAATTAAACTGATGTATCATTTTAATAGATTTTTGTTTTGTAATATGTAGTGCATTTAAATAATTATCGAGAATAGCATTGCTAATTGTGACATTTAAATATTTATGAAAATTGAACTTTGACCTGCCATTTCACTCACAGCTGCTCAAGGCAGGCCGAAGATGAGATTCTAAACCTCATAGCTGGAGGGCTATATTTTGCTCTTTATAAAAGATTTAATGAAATTCCACAGTGACTTGGAGGGGGGATCATTTTAATGTAACCTCAACCAAGTAAGAGCACAAGCTATCTCCGGGAGGGTCTACTAAATCATTTGATATCGAAAGGAGGCCGTGTACTTCTTAACAATTAGTCATTACAAATCCTGGGATGTTTAGTGTGCATCTGTGTGTGGACAGTATATTTCAGTCAATATTTTCTGTTAGCCAGACATTTGTTGCAGGAAGACGAGGCCCAACGGAGAGAAAGAGCACCCAAACACCACGTTTATAAGAGGAAGGGCTTTATTCACCAGCCAGGAGCTTATGACATAGAAGAATTCCAAATGGCCACGCTCCCCGACTGGCTTGGTCTTTCCCTTTTATCGACAGTGGTAAAGTTCCACCCTACAGGGACCCTTCTCACTGGCCAGTTTGAATCAAGCGGGAGATGCTATTCCAGCCCCTACAGAACTACAGGATTTCACAGAACTTGGAAATTTCCTAGTTCCAGGAAATTAAGTTTACAAATTCCCAAGAGCTGAGTCACCATGGAGAGGACCCCGCAGGTGTATCCTTGTGGTCTCCTTGAGAAGACCTGTTCTCCTAGACCTCACCCTTCTCGGGTATCCCCTCTCAATTGATGTATGTCTTTGTACCCAGCCCTCTGTAGGATATCACGGAAATGCTTTAGCATCTGGTATTTGTTCAAATACTAGGAGAGATTTTAAACTATGGCACTGAGAAAGTCTTGTCCCACTTTATGGAAATCCATTTTGGAAGCATTTCTTCCCATCAGACTTCTTGCTTATGTCACATTGAAAGGCCTTTTTTATCACATCCTCAATTTGCATTAGTATTTTTTTTTTTTGAGACAGGAGCCTCAAGCTGTCCCCCTGGGTAGAGTGCCCTGGCATCTCAGCTCACAGCAACCTCCAACTCCTGGGCTCAAGTGATTCTCCTGCCTCAGCCTCCCAAGTGGCTGGGACCACAGGCGCCCGCCACAACGCCTAGCTATTTTTTGGTTGCAGCCTTCATTGTTGTTTGGTGGGCCTGGGCTGGATTTGAACCCGCCACCTTGGGTGTACGTGGCTGGTGCCTTAGCCACTTGAGCCACAGGTGCCGAGCCTACATTAGTATTTTAACATCAAAGGTGAACTTAAGTGACGACAGACATGACAAAAACAAAAAATGGTATACGAAGTAATTCTCTTGCATATCACTTGTCCTGTCCCACTAAGCCACTTATCTCAAAAGGAGCTTGGGATTTCTTAGAAGCATGACAGGAGAATTCTTAGAGCTCAGCCTTTCTGAGCTAGTCGCAGGATTATTCCTCTCAAACACTCAGTGTATGTAGCTGCAGGGGAGACCAGGTAATCCAGAAGAAACCTGGAAATAAATTCAGAATTCTGCCTTGGTTGTAGCAAAATGCTCCTTTCTCTCCCCTAACTTTGCTTAGCATCTCCTTAAATAATTGTGGTTAACCTACATGTATGTGTGATTCCGAAGACTGAGACAGCTCAGCCATCTCCTCTCTGCTTCGGACCCAGGAGCCTGGAGCAGTTGACCACAGGCTCAGGCTTTGGCTCTGTGCACGGCACATGTCAGTCTGGCGTGCCTGCCAATTACTCCGTGGTTATGCCCAGGGAGAAGCAGGCCATGCTTGTGAGGCAGGTTGCTGCACTCTGAGCACAAAAATGTCAAGGGCACATAATTACTACTAATGCCAAAACATAGACAGGCGGCTACAATTAGGAGGCAATGGAGCAAGGCCTTTCTTGTTTCTATAGACAACTTAAATTACAGCCAGCTGGCATTGAGCTTGCCCTGCCACCTAGTATACCAAAAACTTTCCCACATTTTACAATGTGCAATTGCATATTTAGTTTTGGATTTATTCTCTCCCCACAGACTTCATGTAGCCAGAGACCGTATGTCTGGTTTGTTCGCTATTTCACTTTCCTCGGACATAGGAGAAACTCAATGACTATATGTTTAATGAATAGATGACCATGGTATTAATATTTCAGTTGAAGGAAAGGACTTCCAAATACATTTTCCCCATTCATTGAGACCTGACTCAATCAAGATAACTGGATACTCAATATGTCCTCTATCTCTTTCCCTGGGAATTACTGAACCAGATCTGGGAGAAATGACATAGTGTCCTATGAATTAATGCTTAACATAGGCATGATGGCTGTGAAAGCTTGAAAATAAAAAGTCATAGCCAAGGATGCACCTTAACTGGTAATCTTATTCATTTCTCGGTATCTTGAAAGATGTGTATATTGTTTCATTCTGTGTAGATACGTTCTGTATCCAAATGATAAGGATTTCTTGGAAAGGAGAGTTCCTTGATTCCTGTAATTTATTTTAATGCTTAACAGCCTTAACGATGATAAGATGACTACCACACTGTTGACACATAACAGATGTTACATAAATATTGCTGTTTTTGTGAATTGAACTCTGCAATAAAAATGAAGATCACAGCTACTAAATATTTAGTGTGAGTGATAGCAGCTCTCTTTAATCTCTGTTTTAGTTCAGTTGTGTTTGCATAAGTTAAATTACTCTCGTTCTGGTACCCAATTTGCATGCAACTTTTCTACGAGAGGCAAAATGTTTCTCCAGCCATTTTGGGTTTGCTTTGCTTGGCATTTTGTGGGTGATGACTCTTGGGTATAAGTTAAGAGCCTGAGTCACTGGCTGGATCATTGTTCTCAGATCCTCCTGAAAACCTCTTCCTTGACTTTCTTCTGTGTATTTGAAAGAAATACCTGTTCTCATTTATATACAGTGTTCCATAGCCATTATCTCTTAAAACTTATTGGGAGATCACATTTTTACAGTACTTTACTTAATGAATTTTAGACCCATATAACTTCTAAGCAAGAACTATTATTGTTATATACATGTTGAAGACTAGGAGTCGGGTGCTAGAACCTCAGCTTTTATAATGATTAAAGCATTTGGTAACCACTAGAAGTGAAGGAGATGAGGGCTTCTCTGCAAAGAATTACCCATGGGAAGTCACATGGGCCATTGTTAAGGGCTAAAGGTTAAGAGAATTATTCATAGATAATTTTTTTTAACTTAAAACTTTCTTTAAAATCTACCTTGATTGAAGTATAATTTACATGCAAAATACTGCACATATTAAAAGTTTAGTATTTGATAGTTTTGCCATATATATAAACCAGTGAAACCATCACTGTAATCAAGGATAGTGAACATGGCCAGGCATGGGGGCTGCTGGCTATAATCCCAGCACTTTGGGAGGCTGAGACAGTGGGATTGCTTGAGGCCAGGAGTTTGAGGCCAGCCTAGAGAACATAAGTGAGATCCTGTCTCTAAAAGAAAAATTTTAAAAATTAGCCAGGTATGGTAGTGTGTGCCTGTAGTCTCAGCTACTCAGGAGGCTGAGACAAGAAGACTGCTTGAGCCTAGGAATTAGAGATTTCACGTGATTGGGCTACTGCACTTTAGCCTGGGAGACAGAGCAGACCTTGTCACTTAAAAAAGAAAAATAGTGAATAAATCCATTATCATCAAAAGATTCTCATGCCCTTGTCCTGTCTTCCTCCTTTGCCATCAGGCCCCCACCCAGCTTTAGGCAACCACTTTTCTGCTTTCTGTCATTGGATTAATACATAAGTTCGTCTTTTCTAGGAGTCCGTACAAATGTTCTCCAAGTTCTTTGGCTTCTTTTTCACTCAGCATAGTCATAATGAGCTTCAGCCCCACTGCAGTAGCAATTCATGGCTCACTCCTTTTATTGCTGAATAGTAGTGCTCCCTTGCATGGATATACCACGGTATAGCCACTTATCTGTAGGTGAGAATTTGGGTTCTTGAAATTTTTCTCTTACAAATAAAATTCATGTTAAGAATGTATATTTCTGGGAGGCGCCTGTGGCTCAAAGGAGTAGGGTGCCAGCTCCATATGCCAGAGGTGGCAGGTTCAAACCCAGCCCTGGCCAAAAACTGCAAAAAAAAAAAAAGAAGAAGAATGTCTATTTCCTTTGTATAAATATACATTTCCTCTCTTTTTAGTTCAACACTTAGCAGCAGAAAGGCTAGTAGATGTATGTTTAACTTTTTTTTTTTAATTGAGACA